GTGGATGGAGAGTCTCTGTCTCGTGAGCCAGAACCCAAGCATGAACGTTTTCCGGATTTCCGGAAATTGAACCAATGGTTGTCAAATTGTCAGACAGAGACATGAAGCATTTGATTCCCAGACCAGGGCCTAAAGCAGGGTCAACTGTACTGACTGACATCTACCTCCATGGCACTTCTTGTATTACAAGTATTTCTGCATGTAATTTTGCACACGCCCATTGTGGCTTTCAATAGTGGAGCTCACCAGACGTTCTCGCTCTGGAACCTTAATAGGATCTTTTGATTACAATAACAAGTCCCATACATTAAAAGTTACCTCGAGCGCCACTTGGAAAATACCACGGGCGCCAAAGGAACTCATCCAAATATCCTGGCAGGTGGTCTCGATGAACTCCACGCATGGCCTACAGCTTCACGCGGCCTTCCCACACACCCTTCACGAACTGCGTGTGGGCGACGTTGGCAGAGTTCACGATTGTTTCAGAGTGATTTACCCATTGATGGGAGTATTTTCCATTCCTGCCAAGGCAGGATTGTTAGCTAACGCGTGCTCGTCCTTCGAAGTCACGTGCGACCCGAATTTGTCCGAAATGCTCGACCACCGGGTCGCACGTGTTTTCGAATGAGCAGACAACGTATGCTTGGGTGGGTCTTCATATGTCAGTACGCCAAACCACTTCTTCGTCGTTCTGTCGACGCCAACAAAAAGTCAACACTCCGGATACCGCTTTCCGCAATTTTCCTTGGACTTCTTGAGCGACGTTTCGTCGATCTCGACAACGGAGCCCACTCCACCAATCTAAAACATCTCATAATGCATAAGTACATCGCGGTGCTTGGTGTCGTATGATGCGTGCGAGGGTTCGAATTGTGAAGGTATGCGTAAAATCTTAGAGGTACCTTCATTTCGCACTAGAGCATCTCGGACGAGCACATGTTGTGTACCAGTCGCTGGCAGTTCTGGAGGATACTTAGAAATCTTCGATGACATATGAGACAGGCGTCGCGATGCTTGGTGTCGTATGATGCGTGCGAGGGTTCGAATCGTTGTTTTGCTTTTGAAAAGAATGTTCCCGATTTGATACTGCGCTCAACCGAACGGCACGATACGCGACTGCAGCGCCAGCGTTGGAACTTCTCGCATGAAGTCATGGCCTTCGCACACTTGTGACAGAGTATTGAGCTCTTAATGAGCCCACCCGCAAGCACCACCGTAGGCAAGACAGGTCGTCTACATTAGCCCGCATAACGACGTCGAAGGAGAAGTCCTCAACACCGTCGAGGTTATAAGAAGCCTATATGGCAGCTAGTTGGTGTGTGCACGGGGGTTGAACAAGGGTAATGAGCGAATCAACGGGGATTGTTTTTGTTTAGTGCCTTACTGTGGTCGAGAGCATCCAGGACTCCTTTTTCATCTTGAAAATTGTATAAATTTAGAGAAGGACTATTGACAGAAAAACCTTGAGACGATTAATACACCAAAATATCAAAAATCACGAGGTATTTGCTCTTACACGATTATGTCATGCTATCTATAGCGTCATCTATCCTGCTGCTACCACTATTTTCGCGCTCTCTACCACCAAAACCAGCGGCATCGTCAGCATCATCAAGAGCATGGAGGTACCGACAAGAGCCTTGACCTTCTCGGTCGTGTGTTCAATGCAATTGTAGATCGAATATCAAAAAGAACAGAAAAGACAGCATTCAGGCGACATCGCACATCTTCGAAAGTTGTTGCAACACTGTACTGCCTCCCAATGACACCATTAACCTCTGACCATATCATCTGAACAGGCTGCAGATTAGAGTGATAAGGGGGCGTCCACACCACCTTGTGCCCACTGTTCGTCGCAATCATCGTGACTTCTGATGGCACTTATTTGTCAATGTAAGTCATCAGCGCGTTCCAAATCACAGGCTTTGACGCGTTCGGCACGTCCAGGCCCAACGTCCTGCATTCGTTCAGCATAACCGTTTTCTTTATCGATCCGTTAGGTGTTCCATTTGCTCGTCCACGATGGTACTTGACATTATCCATGACAATGATAACACTGTACTGTTCTAGCCTCTCCAACTCGTCCAAGACGTCTGCGAACGAGTCAACGAAGAAATCGTGCGTAAACATGGCCTGACAGCTCTTCGGTTGGCGCTGGTCCCCTTGAGAGATTTCGAGTTCAACCAGGTGCGAATTGTCCGGCCCCGAACTCTTTACGCCGGCGACAAAGCAAAGGCGGCGACCCTTGTGTTTGGCCATTGGCGGTTGAGACAACTTGTCATCGGGATCGTAAAGGCTGTCACCATGTCTTGCGTAGTGATGGTGGATGTATGGCTCATTAATGTACATCAAAGATCGTGGAGGTTCCTCCAAGCGGGCATCGGCCTCCTTTTGCACGTAGATATCCTGCATTACAATTACGCCGCTCGACAATCCGTACGTGCCATCACCTTGTTTACCTCTCTTAAAAATGTTCTTGACAAAGAAATTCTGCGTAGCTCACAACGCTGCAGCGATGGCCTTTGGGTCAATAAAGTCAACACCCAAGTGCTTGTGAACGACCAACAGAGCCAAAATGTCCTCTGCAACGACTCGAGCACGCTCTAACCGTTTTGAACGCACGAACACATGTAACAGCTAACCTCCGCAGAGCTTTGATGCGCGTTTTGTGCGTAGGCCGGTTTGCTGGTGGGCTTGCAACGACTATTCTCTTGATCGTGATGTACTTCGACCAAACTTACTGGACAGTTTTCTTGATACGGCCCTATATCCTCGCAACATCGCCTGATACTTCACGATGACCCTCTTTGCGGAAATAGGCGTGAAGGCGTAGGATGTCCATGAGTTCTCCAAGTGTGAGAGCACGTGAACGCTTCGAAGAGACAAAGTCGTAGTCGTCGTCGTAGTTGTGGTCTGGCATGTTGAAAAATGATTGCTCGTATGTCGCTGTATCTTTTGGCGCAAACTCCTTAAATATTCTTCGTTTGAAGCGAGAATCGATAGTGCTAATCAAAAGGAAGCGATTCGTTTTTATTTGAACGAAATTGGAGTAGTATCGGCGAAGTTATGCTAAAAATTCTGTTCTTGTTTGTCATGATACCAGCTCGCAGCAATACGAACGCTCTGATGTTGCTGGTGATTAGGTATTAATATACACAGGACAACGAAGAGAGACACTTTGGAATTTGATATCTGCCAAAGATATAGATGTACACAGGATATGTGGTTCATAAGAGTGTTTTCTGCGGATTCAAACTTTCGCAGTTGGTATCTGAGAGCCTATGTAGAATTACAGGTTCTACCAACGCCCATTGTATTCCAGAGCTAATTTTCTTTTTGGTGATGCACTCAAAGTCTATTAGAGTGATTTTGCAAATGTAGAAATTTGGACATTTTGCCCGTGAGGTGCAAAGACACGCGCAAAGTCGGAATTTCGATTCTAGAATTTC